TTGTCTTTAAGTTTTTAACAAACAATAATAATAATGATAATATTAAAAACAATAATAATAATCGAATAGGAAAATGGCAAAATAACGACTTACGAACAATTCAAGATACGAACAGCCTTCTGGAACGTAACTTGTTCGTAAGTTATGGGGTGTCTGTACCTGCCCAGCCGGGTTGTGGTTCATATGTTGGCTTACGTGTGGCCAGAAGTAACAGCCTGGTTGATCAGACACTGATCCACCACTAGGCCTGGTCGTGGACCTGGTCGCAGGGGTGCTGACCCCCGGAATATCCTCCAGATAGATTCCTGGTAAGTAGATACCCCTACCCTTCACACACTTGTATTCTTACTCCCTACCTTCAGTGCTATGTGATCCATACAGGTTTAGTGTGTAAGATGTCCTGTGGCCTGGTATGCAATGCTCTCGCCACACACTGAGGGTATGAGGTTCGATCCCCGGCAGGGTGAAAACGGAGTATATTTCCTTATACCTGCTGTAAGTGTTAATCTAGCAAATAAGTATCTGGGAGTTAGTCGACTCTGGTCTGGGTGGCATCCTGGGGAAGGGGGGACAAAATTGGACACCACTGGAAATAAGACAATGCCCGAACACTTTTCCTGACAACAACAACAACAACACTAATTTTCCTTTACGAAGGATGCTATGATGACCATGAAGAGCTTTTGTTCCGAGGAATTGGGGATGCCCCTCTCCTTCCTCGGATCAAACATAATTACCTCCCATTCTCCAGGTGCTACGTGACCCCCCCACGGGTCTAGCGCTTCCCCATGACAAAAAATCATTAGTACTTTCACAGATAATAATAAGGACATGAGGCTAGTTCCAGATTAAGTCATTTATTACAAAATAATCCCATATAGTATGAGATACAATGATATGAATATTATCACATAAATTATTTAACACTTAAAGAAAATTACTATAAAAAAGACAAATAAAGATTCATAAACATTTTATAATATAGAGAGCTGGATTAAACATTCAATTTTAATACTGAATATATATAGTATATATATATATATATATATATATATATATATATATATATATATATATATATATATATATATATATATATATACATACTATATATATATATATATATATATATATATATTATATATACATACATATATATATATATATATATACATACATTATATATATATATATATATATATATATATATATATATATATATATATATATATATATATATATATATATATATATACATATATATATATATATATATATATATATATATATATATATATATATATATATATATATATATATATATATATATATATATATTATGTTAATATTGTTTTATTTTATTAGTACACATGGAAGTTAAGAGAAAAACTGTTAAATGGTGAGCAAATAATATACAACCAAATACTGCTGACAACGTGCAAAACAAGTCATAGGTTTGCTGTTCTTTATACTGTGTCAGACCGTCACATAGACCTATCACTGCCGATACACTAAAACCGTCACATAGGCCTACCATTACCGACACACTGTAAAAGCCTCATAGGAGTGCCATTCCCAAAACTGTGGAACCCTCATAGGCCTACCAGTCCCGATGCACTGAAACCTTCATAGGCCTACCATTCCTGATGCACTGTGAAACCTTAAGGGCTAAAATTCCCGATGCACTGTGAAACCCTCATAGTCCTACCATTCCCGATACACTGCAAAACCATCATATAGGCCTGCCATTCAAGGAAGAAGCCTCAATGAGGTGAAGAGCTCTTGATCCAAAGAATTGGAGCTACCCTTCCTTGGATGACATGATCTCCTTCCATTCCCAAGGCGCCCCATGACCCCCCTACGGTTTTAGCGTTCTCCCTTAACTGTAATAATGCTGTGTAGCCCCGTCACATAGGCCTATCATCTCCGATACACTGCACAAAATCGTCACAAATGGGTACAAAAAAAGGCAGACTAGGATGTTGATAAAAGGTCAGGAGTCAATCCATTTATTATTTTTACTGGAAAACAAATATATCAATGGAAGAATGAGGATTGGGAAGTTATCAGGGTTGATCCAAGGAAGAAAAAGGTAGCTTCAGTTCCTTGGATCAAGAACGCTTGAAGGAGATGAAAGGTATGAAATACTGACACGATGGAAAAATTAACAGAAATGCAGTATGATGTGATCCTCTATTTACAGCGTTTCACCCACATAGTGGACTTTAGCAGGTCACAAAAATAGATCTGTCTGTGACCTGATAAAGTCCAGTGTGTGGGCGAAACGTCAATAATGTATTGCTAAGTATGTTGATTTTCCCAGCCCTTGAAGGAATACCGGACCCAGAAATTGAAAACGAAAACTGGATGCTGTGATGCTGGCGAGCTCTTGATCCAGGGGACTGATGCTATCTGATTACCACTCAATCCCCAGGCAGTGTCACTTACGGGTTTAGCGCATCCCCTGGAATATGACAATAATTGTATGTGATGTGACTTGCCAAGACGGTCCTCCCCAAGATCGTCCGGCGATACTTTTGTGTGTGTGTACTCACCTATATATGGTTGCAGAGGTTAAGCCATAGCTCCTGGCCCTGCCTCTTCGCTAGTCGTTAGTAGGTCCACTCCCTGCTCCAAGAGCCGCCTTGTCATACCTCTTCTTAAAGCTTTGTATGGATCCTGCCTCTCTTTGTATGTATGTGTGACAATCTCCACTTAATATATATTTACTTAAGTACAAAGCGTGTTTAATTCCCCCTCCCATGTGTAATAAACCTATTAGGTACTGAGGGTGCCAGAACCAAAAAAATGATGGATTCAAAGTCAATGGGTCAGCTGTGAGTCAAAAACAATGAATACAATGTACATTGCAGGTGCAAACCCCTAGAGAGCATTGAAAGATGATGAAAATAAAGAGCCATGTTGTTTTAATAGACAGGGAAATCTATCGACAAAATACTGTCTGTGGTGCTAGGCTTGTCGAGCTAACACTCGTCTTGCCATATAGGACAAGTGAAAATTTGTGTATGCAATAATTTCGCCAAAATCATTCTCAACCTAACGAAAAAAATATATTTCACTGTGTTTGTTTAGTATTAAATTACTGTAAATAAATCTAAAATATATTTAGATGGGTTAGGCTAAAATAAATTGTTCTTGTTATAATAAGGTTAGGTAAGTTTTCTAAGATTCTTTTGGTGCAAAATTATAAATTTTTACATTAACATTAATGAAAAAATATATCTTTAAACATATAAAAGAAAATTTCAGAAAGGACTTAATTTTAAATGAGTTCTTGCTAATTGACCAGTTTTACATATTCGGCACGACATATATATATATATATATATATATATATATATATATATATATATATATATATATATATATATATATATATATATATATATATATATATATATATATATATATATATTGATATTCATTATGTTAATACACACAAATCAGTTGTTTGTGTAGCTCCATTCATTAGCCTGTCACTACATGAGGGTCATTAGGGCTGCATGCCACTTGTTAACAACCAGTTAAGGATATGTTAATGGTGTACAAAACTGAGGAAACGTTTCGCCAGCCAGTGGCTTCTTCAGTCCAGTGCAGAGAACGGTGGAAGATGATGAGGAATTTGAAGTGATCAGTCCCTCAGTCTAGAGTCAGTCTTGATGGACTTAACACATGGACTCCAGGCTGAGGGACTGACCCCCCCAAACTCCTCATCTTCCACTATTCTCTATACTGGACTGAAGAAGCTGCTGGCTGGAGAAATATTTCCCCAGTTGATTCCCAAATGCTGCACAAGTGTCTCGTTCTTCAGTTAAGAATATTTTAATCCCTAAAATGGGGATTACAGCCGATAAACACTTCCAGAACTGATGAAGACACCGATGATAACCAACACACCTGTAACTCAAAAGATATATAAATGTAGTCACCATCCAGTTACTAGTCAGACCTAATGGCGTTTAACCTCACCATAGACACCCCACCCCCAGTGCCATAACAATATGCAATAACATCAGAACAAAAAAAAAGTATTTCTTCGACATCAGCAGCTTGTAAATAAATTATATGTGACTGAAACTACTACACAGAAGCAGCTAACACAGTATTCAATTCTTATCTAAGAGATTTAAACTCTATATTCTTACTAAATCCTATAAAGAGAGGGTTGAAGCTCCCCCTGTCCTCCCTCTTTTTAATGGCATCAGTAAAAATATTTACAGTAGGAATGTTTATGAATTATTCAGACTTGCTAAACGGCGCCTAGGTGCTCATTTAGGATATTTTTCTCAGCATTACAACTAATGTGAGTTAAAGTGTATGTTTCCCACAGTTTTCTATGACACAGAACACCAAAGATAAAATACATCTATCGAAAAGATTTTGATCATGTGTGTGTGAAGATAAAAGACTTAAATTAAAAGTCTATAGACATTGAGGACACGAGACATTGATAATATTCTGCTATTTATATATAATATTGATTGAAAATATCAAGTGAGCCAATAAATAAATGCAAGATTACTGATGACACATAGATCCTTAAATTTACTTAAGATCTTAGTTGGTAACAAAATATATACAATACTGTTATTTTGATACTCCTTTGTAAATATTAAAAAGTACAAATTACTTAATCTTTCACAAAGATACTTAGAATAAATACTCGTATACGTATATATATATATATATATATATATATATATATATATATATATATATATATATAATATATATATTATTATATATATATATATATATATATATATTATATATATATATATATATATATATATATATATATATATATATATATATAATATATATATATATATATATATATATATATATATATATATATATATATATATATATATATATATATATATATATATATATATATATATATATATATATATATATATATATATATATATATATATATATATAATATATATATAACAAGATAACCACAGCGAGAGCACAGTTAAAAGCTTCTGTAACTACTTTGCAACACTGAGAGGGACATCATTAGAGTTAACGATGTCTCTGATATGTAAATACTTAGAGAGGCCTTTGGCTGTGATTATCTTGCATATTTGATATCACCTTTTTTGTGAGAATCTCACCACATTGTGGATTTAATATATTGTGTAAGGAGTACTGTGGGTCGAACTGGCGGACCTGCATACGCGAGTCCATAACTATACCATGTTACCCATAGATTGTTCATCGATGTTTTGGTCAGCACCAGCAGTAGTAAATTTAGCAAATTTCACATGAGTTTCGGAACTCTCAGCCCCAACTGTTGTTCAGTACATTTTTATATGGAGTCTGGTGTTTTGCCAGCGGAAGCCAACGGAAGGCCTCGGTCAGATGACCAATAGCTTCTGTGGAAAATTAAATTTACCTGGATGTATCTCATTAGATACATACCAGTAAATGGTAACAAAGATAATTATTATTTATCAAAGTTACATAGACAAGTAGGAATTTTGGGACACCTAGGTCGCAAAAATGTCCCCTTCGATACCTACTACTGTCATATCTACAAGTCACTCTTGACCTATATTAATTTCAAATGAAATATACATTACCAGGAATTCTGGTAAACATCAATATAAATTTGTGGACTATGTTAAAATTAATAAATGTCTACATATACACATTTATGTAACAGGAGAATTTATAATCTTAACACTCACCAATTTGACTGGAGATTACTGTGTATCATACTCAAAACCACCCCTGTCAACATTTATGAAGAATTTACTGGCCAGAACTTCTAAACATAAACGTAGACACTTAGCTGGGGTTCCTGGAGCTGTCCTGTCCATCTACTTAATATTCAAGTTATGCAGGACTGCACATTCACCAATTTCGGCTCCTATTTGAGAGGATTTAAGCCCAAGATAACCCCAAGTGCGACGAAAATTAAGCACATTTTATTAGCGTGTCTGTACTACATTAAAAAAAAAAAACCAGTGGTGACTCCTCCCTGCTCGTCAGCGCAGGCGCAGAGCTTCCCTGTCAATTCTCTTATTTAAAATGCACTCAACAGAACAATAGTAACGTATTAATCAGGTTTATTTACACAGCATAATTTTGGGAAATTATTTTCCACAGCTTCAGTAGCAGGTCATTTGACTATAACCGGCATCAGGAAACTCCAATCCTGTTTCCTGATGATGTTTTCCTAACCTGCTCGTCAGGGAAGAGGTAGAAACTGATAACATTGATTTTCGTCAAGTAAGGATCCAATAGGTGGTGGTAAACATACAAGACTACCCCAGCTTGGTGGAACACTCAGAAATGGCCTGATTCATTGATACCCTCACGGTTAGGTTAGGTAAGATTCGTCAGGAAACAGGACAAGTGTTTCCTGACGCGGGTCTTAGGTATATGATGACCCGCAGTTGGAGTTTCTGATCATCTGACCGAGGCCTTCCGCTGGCTTACCCTTCCACCCCTTGAAAAATTAGGGTTATATCTATGCCATTTACATTTAGTCCTAAACTGATTTATATTATTACAGGTGCTGACATGATCAGGAAGCCTATTCCAGCCTCGGAATATTGCATTTTGATACCTGACCACCTACAGTGGGAACTACAGAATTATGCTGTACTCTGGTACAACACTGATCTTAGTTCATAAATTTTACAAAACCTGAGGTAAGGTATTCTGTCCAGTATCAATAGTTTTGTTAGACAAGAGTTAGTTTCAACTATCTGACTTATAGCACTTCTAACCTATATATCTTAGCTAGCAAGTTTTCTCTCATCCAGGCCCTAGAGGGTCCTCCCTTCCATTATTTTCGGGGTGATTTGGAGTGGTTTACTAATTATTTTTGTTAAGAGCAGATTTCCTTGGTGATAAAAAAATCTATACATTATGTAAGGAACAGACCTGCAGATACGAAGCTACCAGTTCGGTTCCCAGTACTCCTTTAGTGCATTATATACAATTCTAAATATCAGAATTGTATATACTACTTTAATTCTTACTGCTACGTTAATGCATACTGAAATTTACATAGTGTAAACGCAGCTTACAACGCTTGTATTAAACACTATGTTAAACGCCATGACAGTGACAAAATTGTTCACTATTCATTTAATCATTTTAAAATTAGAAGCACATATAGAACACTTAGGCAGTGGATTCTTAACACGTCTCTCTGTCAGTATGATTGAGAAAGTTGACGAAATGTTTGTAGAATAAACTATTATATTTTGATGAAATATTGGCACGGTAACTATTATATTTTGAGGAAGTGTTGGTACTGTAAACTATTATATCTTGAGGAAACACAGGTACATAGCTACAGAGAATTCTGAGCTTTACAACAAAGAAGATTAAACACTAAAATAGTATTGAATCGCTAGCTACTGATATGTCCCATTAAATAATTCTAAAATAATCTATGTAGATGACAGTAAGTTAACTTGAATTAGTCTCATATTGAGCAAATGAGCTTTTTAAGAAATATGACTATTTAAGAACTTTTTTACTAAGATAAACTAGCTACTGGTGATGTATATGTTGATGTATATGTGAAGATAATTTATTATTGTTTTTTGATATACGTATTATATATAGTGCTTTATTTACAAAAAATCTGGAAGAGATTTGTAAAACCAGATGAAGATAATATTTTTTTTACAGTTTTTTTGATTTTGTTGAAGTGACATCAAACTTAATGCCATGAATTCGAAAGAATTCCTTAATTGGTGTTGTACTCTCATCAGTGTCATCATCAGTGTCTGTTCTACATAATCTTAGATCTGTGAGTCTATCTTCCTCAGCGCCTGTACTCTGGGGGGTTGGTACTCTCTCAGAGCTGAGGGAGGAATTAACACATACTGGTGCTTCTCCGGATGTGATACATTTTGTTTTGGTAGTAGGAAGGTGTGATGCAGACGAGGGTTTTTGTAGAGCACTTGTAGTTGTAGATGAAAGAATGCTTAAAGTAGAGGGAAGATTGCTAGGGGTAGGAGAAAGATTGCTAGAATTAGAGGAAGGACACTTTAACTCTGTTAACTCTGCTGAGCAGTATTCTTGAACTACAGGTCTCAGCGTGTGTGTAGTCACATGAGTGAGTATTGCAGTTTCTGTGACAGAACGAGATGGAGGGGATTTATGAGGTGAAGTTTGAAGGCTAGTGTGTGGAAGACAGTGAGTGAGTGGTTCTTGAGGGGGAGAATGTTGTTTGGGAGGATAGTTTCTATAGAGTTCTGGTGGCGTTATTGTTAGGCATTTTGAAGACATCGAGGCTGAGTCTTCAGATGTTACCTGGTCACTGAATGACGGCACATCAACGCTAGAAGTCTTTGACGTAATGGAAATAGTGTTAGGATGTGATTCTTGAATGTTAGGATACTTGGGTGGTAAGGTACTATGTAGCAAGTTTAATATGACTAATTCATTGTCTACTGAATATTTTTTGCCCGGTTCTTCGTCTCCCTGTTGCTCTTTGGGAAGAGTTTCAGAGTTATCGGGATCCTCTGTATCTGGCACATCTTGGATATTACACAGCACTTCAGTGTCTGTATTAACTGAAGGATTGTCGTAGCTATAGTTCAATGAGGTGTAAGGTAAAAACGTGTGATTCTTTCCTAGCTTTGGTCTCCAGTTAATTATATTACCATTCACTTCGGATCTGGTGGTCTGTGCTTTAGCAAAATCTACCTCATCACTGCCTAACCTAATGATTATAGTCTTTAGTTCACAGTTATCTGAAGCTTCAGTGTCACTTTCGGAGCTGAGAGCTTCTTCGAGAATACTGAAAGTAGCCTCCTCTGCTGCAGAATGTTTTTGCATACACAAATTATCATAAGCCATAGTTTGATGTTGATGTCTGAGCCCATCTTGAAAATAAGTTTGGGAATCTTCATCAACGATACTTGGTGACAGCAGCTCATCTTCTGTAGTGACTCTTGTAGAAGGGGAAAACTGAGAACCAAACGATACTCTAGACTCCTTTTCTGATGGAGATAACCTCACAGACTTGAGGATACCTCGAATGTTTGACACCTTGGCTGACACTCCAGCCTTCCTTCTTCTATGATACAGATCCATTTTCTCATTAGTGTCACTGGTTGTATCTACAAGATTCCTACAGTCAGTATTAGACACCCAACCTTGTTTTTCAAGGGCCATTTCCGTTTGTGTTCCTTGGCTGAAGGGAACCACTCTGTTATTGAATATTATGCCGTTATCACAACTAACTGATCGTGGTTTGGTCCAAGTACTGTCTTCAGAACACGGCATCACTGAACCATACCCAACAAAGTTCACTACTTGAGAATCTGTCATATTTTGTCGATGCACCGAAAACTCACTTCGACTATCAGAACAACCAAAGAGTCTGGGTAATAAGTTACTTTCACTAGAAAACTGACTGTCTTGTACATTGTTTACTGTAGACACGTTGTGATTGCACATATCACTTTCTTGTCGTAATGGCGACCTTTGACTGCAAAACTTATAATTAGTCTCCTCATTCTGATCTGCAACTGTAACCTCGTCTTCCTCAGTCACACTTGTTGCAGTAATCCGGGACTGTTGCATTGCATTTTCTGCGTCACTAGGCGGCTGTTTAGGTTCCCCAGAAGAATAATACTGGCTTGTGAGGTACGAACACTTAATCTCACCCCCGTAAGTAATAGGTTCACCGGTGCTGTCCCGGCCCGGGTCTGTTCCAGATGGTGACCCCGCGATCTCACTCCCGAGCTCCTTTACAGATGTTACAGGTTCCTTTACCTTGAGCTCCTTGTCTTGTGGCATTGCTGTGTCTTCCCTGACTATGGTAGTGATGGGAGGACGGTCATCACTACCATTCCTCTGCTTCTCAGTCGTCTTGGCATGTCTAGCTGCCTCGGCCTGACATGAAGAGAGGAAGACTTCTCAATTAATGATACATTTTATATAGAGATAAAAATTGGCGTTTTAGATATATTTTAATCAATTTCATTTACCACCTGTGTATTAACAGATTATGTTGCTAAACTTTCTATTGTGAACTGATAACAAATTTGATCAGAATTATCTCTACAGTATTTATTACATATTATTATTATTATTATTATTATTATTATTATATTATTATTATTATTATTATTATTATTATTAACATTATTATTATTATGCTTTAAAATGTCATCTTTAATTAGCGTTTTATATAATAATTACATGATTCTCTCTAATATAGATTTATTAAAATATTTTTGATAATATAGTGCTCTTTTCAAAGCAGTGCCATAAAAATAAATTTGAGAGGCCATTCAAAGCAACTTGATCTGGTCAAAATAATACGTGTTTCTTTATTACTGTATCTGAAGCCGCTGAGTGTAAAATAAATTATGAATGAATAATGTATAAAAATAATTAGTCAAACTGACAAGGCGTTAAATTTTATGAATAATAATGGGAGGTAATCAGGTTTGATCTCCGGCAGGGGAATTCCGCTCCATTCCCTGAGACTAAAATCCCTTCACCAGGAAATATTAATTAATTATCGCCAACAAGTAACCATAATATTAAGTAATAAATGTAAAATGAGATGATAACGTGTGTTATTTTGCTGAGTACAAGAGTACAGAGTACAAAAATAAGGGATATTACCTCCAAAAGGGTTAATATCCAGGGATAATACGAGTCGTTTGTAATTAGAACGTCCTACCAATGACTTATGATCTTTTTAATGTGTAAGTTCAATAGAGGGATAAGGTTAATGTTATTATAGTGTTTATGGGGGTTTAGAGTCCGACTTTTTTGGGTTATCCTGGGTAATGTACACACATGCTGCTATGTATAACTTATGTGACTGTATTTCTGTGTTCCTGTACCTGAATAAACTTACTAGTGTGTGTGTGTGTGTGTGTGTCGGGTACACGAGGATCATTAACCCTTAAACTGTCCAAACGTAGTTTACGTTTTTTCAGCATTTGAAAGTATGTAAAAAAAACGTAATTTTTTTTTTTTACATTTGAAAGCTTGTAAAAATAATTAAGGCTGTATGTGACCTGATGACCACTAATCTAAGAATAATTTAATTCCTTAAAAAGGGATTAAGGTTATGTTAGGGAAGGTTCATCACTGTGGAAAATTTGATATAATATTTCTAAATTTATAATGTATAAATATCAATAATGTAAATGTGTAAAATGTATTGCTGGTAATCTGAATTTAATTTTCGAGTGAAAAAAGAACCAGCAGAAGCGGCGAGAGGTGGAGAGGGAGAGACGCCATAATGAAAATTTGGTGAAGTCTGGTGATAATAACCGTCGAATTAAATCGGTCGTCATCGGGGCTAAATTGGAGTGGAGCGGCCTCAGACGATCAGAAAAAAATGCTGTGACGCCCTACACTGCAGCATGAGAAGCAATTTCGTATGGAACCACGGTAATACAGTGGAAAAATTGGAAAACATCGGACACCGATGGTTCCCTACTACACACCTAGAATAAGTAACGCTAGCTCTGGTGGCCTGGTGGTTAACGCTCTCGCTTCATAGTGAGGCCTTGGGTTCGTCCGTCGAGTAGACATTAGGTTCTTTCCACCTGTTGCCATGTTCCCGCTCAGTAAATGGTAGGTGTTGTGATGGTGGGTCGCAATGGACATTACCAAGGAGCTCTGTGCATCAGAGGGCCCGCGGGAGTTATACCCTTGACATTTCATAAACCCAGATTATTATGTACAGTAATTTATGTTCTTCTCACAACCAGCAGTAGCAGGTGTTTCTGACCGGGTTGGTAATTGTACCCGCAATAGAGTTTGTGGTCATGCGTATGGAGCACCGAAGGTCTTTCCAGTCGATCTGAGGGTACGAAAAACTTGAAAACAACTAATCCTTCGTTTTTAGGATTTATGTATAAGTGTCTCTTACATGTTATCTTCTACAATCAAGAAGCTCTAGAAAGTGTTCCTGCCTCTACTATCATGAGTGACCAGATAAGTGTTTGTCTCTATCAGAGGCCGTGTCTCCTCTACTATCAAGAGTGAGTCTGTAATGTCTTGACCCCTAACTAATCAGTCTCGTTGGTTTGCGCTCTACTATCAAGAGTGCTCTTAGAAAGTGTCTGCCCCTCTACTATCAAGAGTGCTCTTAGAAAGTGTCTGCCCCTCTACTATCAAGAGTGCTCTTAGAAAGTGTCTGCCTCTCTGGCTTGCAGTATTGGTCACACTTTTTATGGTAAGTAATTATCTTGGTATCGCCCATTTTATATTTTTAAGGGGAATTAGGTTGGTATGTTAATTGGGTTTAAAAATATGTTGGCACATGAGGATCAGTAAGACTATAGATGCCGCTTGTTCATCACCAGTCGAAAATACTTGAATCCCAAATACGGGAGCAGCAGTGTATGTACACTGCTGCTCTCAGTGAACACACATCGAGAGGGAAGAGAAGGGGACACCATTCCCACGAGCCCTTCTAGGACGGGGAAGGTGCCAGAGCCAGAGCTTGCTACCACCTGCAGCTCACAAGACTGTCACTCCCACAAGCATCCCTGGGGCGGGGAAGCTGGCAATCAGAGGTTTAGCTTCTCCCTACGAGCCCCGTGAGGGCGGGGAATGGGACTAGGCCTGGGGACAGTTGGTTCCAGAAGATGAAGAGGTACTTGTACATCCTCTCATGGCAGACACAGGTCTCAGACACTCCCAAGACGGAGTCAAGGCCGGGTCACCATCTGGAAAAGACCCGGGCCGGAAGAGACATGAGGTATGATAAAGCTCATGGAGCAGGGAGAGTAGACCTAGTAGCGACCAGTAAATAGGCGGGGCCAGGAACTATGGCTCTACCCCTGCAATCACAATTAGGCGAGTACCTCTCGGTGTGTAAACTCGCCACCGAAAAGGAGCTAAAACTCACTCACCGTATGTATTACAGTAGTCAATATTATATTATTGGATTTCACACTAAAATCGACCGAAAGCATAATAAAATAGACCTTTAAAGAGAACCCAGGCAAAAACACTGATAAACATTCAACAAAATATTTTAGGCATAACCCCCCCGAAAAAAAAATAAAACGAGCATGCGATTAAAAAAAAGTAACCACTATAATAGCTTTAACAAAAAATAAAAAAAAATAGAGCAGACAACGAAGAAAACCACAACTCATAATACCGTTATTGAAAAAAATAATGAAAATTACATATATTTACACTATTTTAGTCGGAAGAAAACTCATTATTCCATCTTTTTGTCGCGAGTTTTGCCCTGGCACACCTGTGAGTTCATCCAGTTGTGGGTGATGCTGAAGAACTCCCTGCCCTCTGACACATCGATCTCGTTCTCTCTGACTGCACGAGCCACTCTTCTCCTCAGCCTGGGGATCAGTGGATCCAGGAGATCATCTGTGGTCTGACAGCCTCGCTCTTCCCTGCACCACACACCGTCCCCACCTGCACACAACCCACACATTATTATTATTATTATAAGAAGAAAGATATATCGTTACATAATGTTACATGGATACTCATTGTCGAGAGCAAATTATAGAAGAAGAAGAAGAAAGCTTTTAATTTTACCACGTCGTCTTTTTCCCACCAAGGTAGGGTGACTCAGAGAAGGAGACACATTCACCATCAGTCATTCAAGAGCTGTTTTGCTGGAAATGTGAGTCCGCATAATGTTTTTTTTTTCAGATTTGCAAATGTCCAGTTGACGGCCACTTCAACAATGAAATGAAAGCTTAGTGCAGATCTTTCAAAGCTCTCATGAACCACACAGGAATTAATGTTTGCTAAGCCAAAAAAAAAAAAAAATGTACCTGAGATTCCTAGCGAAATACTTGTCTTCAACTCAGGAGATAAGTCAATATCATCAAGTTACCGCCCAATACTTCGTTATAAATGGTATACAATACCGACAAGTTGACGAGCAAGACATATACGACTAAGAGCCGTGTCAGGATACCTGTTCTGGCGAGTATTATACATACAGCAAGACACATGTGCAACACTTTGGAATCCTTATTGACGAAATCTTTCGCTTACGTTGCAGACTTCATCAGTCGCACACAGAATTGAATTACAGTCATTAAACCAGTAGTAGGTAAATTATTAGGCACTGTGCTTAAAAAAACGAAGATACTATTCAATAACATAATTTCACCTCACCTGCAAGGTCGAGCTGTGAGCCGTAAGCCTTGCGCAACATCATGTCTCTTGTGTTACTGGTGACGCCTCCCGTCCCTACGCTCCCACTGGCGTCACTCCAAACACTGCAGGAAATACCAGAACATAAGTTACAGTACCGTGGCTGCAACACTTCACAAGTAACCCACAATACCGTGGCTGCAACACTTTACAAGTAACCCACAATACCATGACTGAAACAATTCACAGCTAACCCGCAAATCCTTACATATATAGAGGCTCGCTTTTTGCAAGTCAGGGCACAAAATCTGACTAAACATTTATGGGAACAATGTTTCCATGGAAGGAACGTAGGTCCCAGGAGAAGCTTGCTATACATGGTACTATTCTCTAAAAACCTACCTGATTTCCCTTCTGAGTAAGGAGCGAGGATATGGATCCCTGGGAAGCAATCCTAGTGGCGGGATGAAAGGCATGCCCAGGGTAGACCGTATCCTTTGTAAGAGCGAGAGATGTGGCTGCCCAATACCCAGCATGGCTGATCCAACGTACATGCTGAAAGTATATATAAGTACAGTTATTATACATAGTGATAGTGTAAATTATCTAGGATAACTCCCCAAGAAAGGTGAGTCAGTTAATATTAGTGGGGTGGAAGAGCGATCTGTCAATACTTCTACTTTCTTTAAATTTACATTATAGCTACATTAATAATAAAAATCACAATACCATGACTAGAACAATTCACAAATACCCACAATACCATGCCAAGGACAATTCACAAATAACCCACAATACCGTGGTTGTAAGAATTCACAAATGACCCAATTTAGAAAGAATACCTTAGAAGACGTTTCGGGCTGTCCTCTACCATTATTAGTTCTGGACTTTATAATGATCCAGGAGGGACCCAAACGTCGTATAAGTTTCCTTTCCTAAGTTTCGGTCAGTTGTGAGCTGTACTGTACTTATGCTAAAGGCTTCTGCGGTTTAGGTACTATCCTTTTGTGTGTCAATGTAGAGTTTGTGCTCCGTCCAAGAGATGGATATGAGGTGCACAATAACTAGCCAGTACCATCTACAGGATGGATAGTGTAATGCACAGTTATACCAGCCACTACCATCTACAGGATGGATAGTGTAATGCACAGTTGTACTAGCCACTTCATCCTCCAACTCTAACACTACCTTTCCATAGCGGCACTAGGTGAGGGCTCGGAGGGACGAGACAGACTAGCCTTGCTGGACGAGCCAATGTGACATCGGACAGTGGTAGCAGTCTTGAAGGCCGAACGATCGTTCTTCTCTGGTCTGAAATCACATTAAATTTTCTGTGAGGAAAAAATCTACGCAGTGTTCGATATGTCGTTAGTCATTATAGAGATACGAAGCAGTTATTTTGTGTAAGGATAAGATAGGCGCACAACTAACGACTTTTATTGCCTGATGCGTGTTCCTAACAGAATGACTAACATTACGTTTAGATTTTGTAGATGTAAATTCGCTAGTATCCTAACACAGCTCATGAATCTGGAATCGCTGGATTCAATAGCTGGAGAATGTTTCTCCCGAACGGCTTTAAGGTTTCAGCAGTGATAGGCTTTGCTCAAGGGAAGGTTCGCATTGGTTTTGGGCTGTGTAAAGTTTAATTTGCAAGTTATTATTAAATAAAAGGATTTTTGGGGGCTGCTGGAGAATGCTTCGTCTGATAAGATTGAAACTCCAAACACCAGTGTATCTTAATTATATGTTTTGATTGGTCTTGGGCTGTGCAGGTGACAGTCTGCCAGTGAAAAGTGTGAAAATTTAGAATGTCATGAGGATGATCAGGAAGAATGAATTCCAGGAATGGCGGTGACAGAATGGTCACATAAGAGCTTGGTTATGACAGGTCACACAAGAGACGGAAAGGTCACAAAGGAGCTTAACTCACCTGAAGAGGATGATATAGAGCTTGGGGAAGAAGAGCAGGACCAGGGTGACGAGAGCACTGAGAGAAGTACACATACTCATGCAGATGATCTTGTGGTCACTGCCGAAGTAGATGGGAACCCACGCCATCTGTTGGCAGATATTTGAGTTACAGTGGAGGAAGTTTAAGTTTATTTAGGTACGGGTTCATATAAATACGCTTAGCTCACACGCTGAGGTTCGGGAGTCGATCCCCGGTACGGGTGGAAAGATTAGGCCATGTTTCCTTAAATATGACACCTGGTGTCCATGTTCACCTAGCAGTAAAATAGGTACCTGGGAGTTAGTGGACTGGTGTGGGTCGCATCCCGAAATGCTCAGCATAACAAGCGGCTTTCTATATAGTAGTATGTCATTGATGTCAGCTATGGTCTGTATACCTTGTACATGTACTGGTAGAAATTATTATTATTATTATTATTATTATTATTATTATTATTATTATTATTATTATTATTATTATTATTAAATTGCCAAGGATAATCCAAAAAATCAAGAGTGAATTATATCCATTGGAGTCTTTGAGTTATTACGTTCAGTGCAGGAACGGTGACCTGGAGACAGGGTCGTAGAACGCCCAGGGGAACAGACTTGTTCAGAGGAACGGGAAGGGATGAGTCAGTTCACTGGATCAAGAGCCCTTCACTGGAACATCAAGAGCATAGAGGATGAGGTGTGATCCTCTCCCCCAGGATGCCACCCACACCAGTCCACTAACACCCAGGTACCTAGTTACTGCTAGGTAAACAGAGACAGCAGGTGAAAGATGACTAACACCCAGATACCTACTTAATGCTAGGTGAACAGAGACAGCAGGTGAAAGATGACTTAACACCCAGTTACTTAGTACTAGGTGAATAGAAGCAGCCAGATGTATATTCAGACATATATACTCATATATTTAAACAGATGTATAGTAAGCCAGATGTATACTCACTCAGTATTTAAACTCAGCTGCATGTATACTCACCCAGATGACACACGTAGTATACATAGAGAAACCAATGAACTTGGCCTCGTTGAAGTTCTCAGGTAAGTTCCTGGTCTTGATGGCATACACAGTACACATAGCTATCAGGAAGAAATCCCAACCCATAGGCGCGATGATTCCCCGTGGAGATGTGTTACATACCAGCTTAACCTGGAAGAATACACCCAGGGTGTCAGAACACCTCGTGGAGGTGGAGGTGTACACACACGTGGTTAGATGTGTAGAAAGGTACGACTCGCATTTTAAGGTCGTGTAGGTAGATGTAGAAAGGTACAATTCACGTTTTAAGGTCGTGGATAGATGCAGAAAGGTACAATTGAACGATTTTAAGTCATGGCAGATTGTAGAAAGGTACAATACAATTTTAAGGTGTGGTAGATGTAGAAAGGGTACAATTCACTTTTAAGGTCGTGATGCTGTTGAAAGGTACGACTCACCTTTAGGTCTGTATGAGGTAGAAGGTACGAAACGTTTTAAGGTCCGTGGTATAGATAGAAGGGTACGAATAACATTTAAGGTCGTGGATACTTAGATGGTATACTACTCTTGAGGCGTGGTAGATGATGCTTGCGTCAGCGGTCAGAATCACAAGAGTAATTATCGCACTTCATGCTAATAGACTCGTATGATCACCTGCGCAGGTGGCAGACTATAAGCGAGGTTACGCATCATAACTTCTGTTACGGCCAGGTGCGCGTATACGTTGGTCTGTGACTAGCGCAGGAGATCCGGCGAAGATAGACGGCGATGCCGACACTACGCAACTCAGACCGGAGGGTCGCGCTAGAAGAGGCAGCGTAGCGCTGTATGATACCATCATTCCCACGAAGATGATGTATGAGAGTTCTCGTGTTGATGCCTGATCATACCAACCATAGTTACAAGTTTTTGTAATTAGAAAAAAATTGGTAATGTATTTTTTTTTAATTTTGTGATTTTTTTTTGAGAGAAAAAAAATTGTTAATGTTTTTTTTGTAATTTTGTGATTTTTTTTAAGAGAAAAAATTGTTAATGTTTTTTTTTTAATTTTGTGATTTTTTTTAAGAGAAGAAAAAATGTTATTTTTTTTTGTAATTTTGTGATTTTTTTAAGAGAAAAAAAATTGTTAATGTTTTTTTTTTGTAATTTTGTGATTTTTTTAAGAGAAAAAAATTGTTAATGTTTTTTTTTTTGTAATTTTGTGATTTTTTAAGAGAAAAAAATTGTTAATGTTTTTTTTTGTAATTTTGTGATTTTTTTAAGAGAAAAAAATTGTTAATGTTTTTTTTTGTAACTTTGTGATTTTTAAGAGAAAAAAATGTTAATTTTTTTTTTGTAATTTTGTGATTTTTTTTTTGAGAGAAAAAAATTGTTAATGTTTTTTTTTTTTTAATTTTGTGATTTTTTAAGAGAAAAAATTGTTAATGTTTTTTTTTGTAATTTGATTTTAGAGAAAATTGTTAATGTTTTTTTTTGTAATTTTGTGATTTTTTTAAGAGAAAAAATTTTTAATGTTTTTTTTTTTTTAATTTTGTGATATTTTTTTTAAGAGAAGAAAAAATGTTATTTTTTTTTAATTTTGTGATTTTTTTAAGAGAGAACAAAATTTTTTAATTTTTTTTTGTATTTTTGTGATTTTTTTAAGAGAAAAAATTGTTAATTTCTTTTGTAATTTTGTGATTTTTTTAAAGAAAAAATTGAGGTTTAGGATTGGATGTTTAATTAATTTGTATTGAGAAATTTTTTGAATATAAATTTTAAAATGTGTAAATAATTTGATTTTTTTAAATTTCGTGACTAAAAAACTAAAAATATATAAAATAAGATATAAAATTTAAATTAAAAAAAAATAAAATGAAATAATTATTTTTTTTAAGTTTAGAAATTTAAAATTTTTGAAAAAAAAAATTAAATTTAAAAATTTTAGAAGATTGAAAATTTAGAAATTTTGAAAATCTAAAATTTAAAAATTCTGAAAAATCTGAAATTCCTAAAAAAATCTAAAATCGAAAAAAATAGAACATTAATAACTGAAAATTAAAAAAATATATAAAAAATTTAATTTTTTAAATTTCACAATTAAAATTAAAAAAAAAAAATACGGATTTCTAATACATAATTACTTAAGTACAAATGGTTATAATTCTAACCAAATTTTTTAAAGGGATTGAGAGGTAAGCCAGCGGAAGGTCTCAGTCAGATGACCAAAAACTCCAGCTCTGGGTCATCATATGACTAAAACCCGCTTCAGGAAACACTTGTCCTGTTTCCTGACAAACCTTACTTAACTAACTACGCAAGTAAGTGCACAAGTATGTAAGTAAGAATGTAAGTACACAAGTAATTTAAGTACACAAGTAATTAAGTACACAAGTAATTAGTACACAAGTAATTAAGTACACAAGTAATTAAGTACACAAGTAATTAAGTACACAAGTAATTAAGTACACAAGTAATTAGTACACAAGTAATTAAGTACACAAGTAATTAAGTACACAAGTAATTAAGTACACAAGTAATTAGTACACAAGTAATTAAGTACACAAGTAATTAAGTACACAAGTAATTAAGTACACAAGTAATTAAGTACACAAGTAATTAAGTACACAAGTAATTATGTACACAAGTAATTAAGTACACAAGTAATTAAGTTGGTTTAGAAAGACACGTAAGCAAACACTATGACATATTTATTAAAACGTATTCGGTCCTGGACCTTGACACTCTAACATACATTCAAGGTCCAGGAACCGAAACGTATTTATAAATAGTATATGTTCTTACGAGTCTTTCTAAACCAATTGTCCGTATTTATTACCAAGGTTTATACCACAAGTAATTAAGTACACAAGTAATTAAGTACACAAGTATGTAAGTACACAAGTAAGTCTGTAAGTAAGTAGACAAGTCATTAAAGTATTGAGATAGTTACCTTGACAACTGGAGTATGATTGTACTTCAAAAAAACAAGCATAGTGAAGCAGGTTGCCAGGAAGCCCAGGGATGCCAGACTCAGTGCCACGATGGACTCGGCGTCACTCCACATGATATGTTTCACTGGGATGGCGTCACAACCTGTAACATAACGTCTTACAACCTGTAACGTGACGTGTTGCAACCTGTAATGTGACGTGTTACAACCTTTATTGTGACGTGTCACATCCTGTAATACGTCGACCCGTAACGTAACACCTCAATACTTTACCTTCAGTAATATAATAATAATAATAAAAATAATAATAATAATAATAATAATAATAATAATAATAATAAATTATTATTATTGGTGTTTTATTCTTATTATTATTATTATTATTACTGATGAGGAAGCGTTAAACCTCTAGGAGTTATACAGTTCTTAGGGAATGGGGGGGGGGTAATGTTGAATGGTCCAGAAAGAGAACGAGCAGCTCCCATTCCTCGCATCAAAACTTCTTCTTCACCCACTTCAAGGCATCCCTCTTCCCCCTTCCTTATTTAGACAAAGTAAATCAAGGGAGAATAATCGTATCTGTGAGAACAGACGGAGGGTCAAGCCTGCACACCTTAAATGAGCTCACAAGGGTAGTGTGCAGGTCTTAGCTCATCTGTCTTGTTGAGATTGTCACCTGGAGGGAGGACTGAACGTGAGTGAATGTCTTGGCTCACCTGTCTTGTTGAGATTGTCACCTGGAGGGAGGACTGAACGTGAGTGAAGGTCTTGGCTCACCTGTCTTGTTGAGATTGTCACCTGGAGGGAGGACTGAACGTGAGTGAAGGTCTTGGCTCACCTGTCTTGTTGAGATTGTCACCTGGAGGGAGGACTGAACGTGAGTGAAGGTCTTGGCTCACCTGTCTTGTTGAGATTGTCACCTGGAGGGAGGACTGAACGTGAGTGAAGGTCTTGGCTCACCTGTCTTGTTGAGATTGTCACCTGGAGGGAGGACTGAACGTGAGTGAAGGTCTTGGCTCACCTGTCTTGTTGAGATTAGTCACTTGGAGGGAGGACTGAACGTGAGTGAAGGTCTTGGCCCACCTGTCTTGTTGAGATTAGTCACTTGGAGGGAGGACTGAACGTGAGTGAAGGTCTTGGCTCACCTGTCTTGTTAAGATTAGGCCAGTAGCCTGGCTGACAGCGCTGACAGACAGTCTCGTTCTTCAGGTATTCATCTCTGTCACACGGTGTACAGATCCAGCAGCATCTCTGTGTGTCGTCTCCCGTCTCTACGAAGCTCTGACAAATACATTATATTATTATTTATAATAATAGTAATCCTAGTGATAGTAGTAGTAGTAGTAGTAGTAGAAGTAGTAGAAGTAGTAGTAGTAGTAGTAGTAGTAGTAGTAGTAGTAGTAGTAGTAGTAGTAGTAGTAGTAGTAAATAATAATAATAATAATAATAATAATAATAATAATAATAATAATAATAATAATATTATTATTATTATTATTATTATATTATTATTATTATTATTATTATTATCACAATGAATATCTATGCAAAATGGGCATGTTGGGCGCTAGGTCCTGGACCCCCACACAAGAGTGGGCACGCCACAGGATGTTTACTGTGGGCCTCCACAACACGTAATCCAGCACCGGTTACAGTGTTAAATATGTAAATACCCTACAGCATCAACTCACAACCATCACTAAAAAATTCCCCCCATCCCCTCTAAAAAGGAAACACAGTCACCAACATTCGTTCAATAACTTTCTTGTTAGAACTGCAACATTCTCAGGATGAACCCCGGCTCCTGCAGAGCGTAGAACTCACCTTGTACTCGTTGTAGCTGCAAGGTTCAGAACAGACAGAGATAGGAGGGAGTCCATCAGAACTGTTGAAGATGACCAGTTCCTCATGGACCACTAGTGTACCGTTGTCCCACGTTCCAACGGGGATGTAGTCGAAGCTACCGTTTTCCAGGCGCTGGTAGTTCATAATGTCGTACCTGATGGAACGACCATAGTGGTAATGATGGATTATATATATATGGTGTAGGAGGTAGGTTACTGAAAGCAGTGAAGAGTTTTTACGAGGATAGTGAGGCTCAAGTTAGAGTATGTAGGAAAGAGGGAAATTTTTTCCCAGTAAAAGTAGGCCTTAGACAAGGATGTGTGATGTCACCGTGGTTGTTTAATATATTTATAGATGGGGTTGTAAGAGAAGTAAATGCGAGGGTCTTGGCAAGAGGCGTGGAGTTAAAAGATAAAGAATCACACACAAAGTGGGAGTTGTCACAGCTGCTCTTTGCTGATGACACTGTGCTCTTGGGAGATTCTGAAGAGAAGTTGCAGAGATTGGTGATGAATTTGGTAGGGTGTGCAAAAGAAGAAAATTAAAGGTGAATACAGGAAAGAGTAAGGTTATGAGGATAACAAAAAGATTAGGTGATGAAAGATTGAATATCAGATTGGAGGGAGAGAGTATGGAGGAGGTGAACGTATTCAGATATTTGGGAGTGGACGTGTCAGCGGATGGGTCTATGAAAGATGAGGTGAATCATAGAATTGATGAGGGAAAAAGAGTGAGTGGTGCACTTAGGAGTCTGTGGAGACAAAGAACTTTGTCCTTGGAGGCAAAGAGGGGAATGTATGAGAGTATAGTTTTACAAACGCTCTTATATGGGTGTGAAGCGTGGGTGATGAATGTTGCAGCGAGGAGAAGGCTGGAGGCAGTGGAGATGTCATGTCTGAGGGCAATGTGTGGTGTGAATATAATGCAGAGAATTCGTAGTTTGGAAGTTAGGAGGAGGTGCGGGATTACCAAAACTGTTGTCCAGAGGGCTGAGGAAGGGTTGTTGAGGTGGTTCGGACATGTAGAGAGAATGGAGCGAAACAGAATGACTTCAAGAGTGTATCAGTCTGTAGTGGAAGGAAGGCGGGTAGGGGTCGGCCTAGGAAGGGTTGGAGGGAGGGGTAAAGGAGGTTTTGTGTGCGAGGGGCTTGGACTTCCAGCAGGCATGCGTGAGCGTGTTTGATAGGAGTGAATGGAGACAAATGGTTTTTAATACTTGACGTGCTGTTGGAGTGTGAGCAAAGTAACATTTATGAAGGGATTCAGGGAAACCGGCAGGCCGGACTTGAGTCCTGGAGATGGGAAGTACAGTGCCTGCACTCTGAAGGGGGGTGTTAATGTTGCAGTTTAAAAACTGTAGTGTAAAGCACCCTTCTGGCAAGACAGTGATGGAGTGAATGATGGTGAAAGTTTTTCTTTTTCGGGCCACCCTGCCTTGGTGGGAATCGGCCGGTGTGATAATAAAAATAAAATAATATATATATATATATATAATATTATATATATATATGTATCGTGCCGAATATGTAAACTGTCAATTAGCAAGAACTCATTTAAAATTAATCTTCTCTAAAATTTTCTCTTATATTAAAGTATATTTTTTTTCATTATTTGATGCAAAATTTACAATTTTGGGACCCAAGGAACTTAAGAAAACTTACCATACCTTATTATAACAAAACAATTATTTTAGCCTTAACCAACGAAATTATTTTAAAATTTGTTACAATTTAAATATCTCAAAGTAAACACGTGAAATATATTTTTTTCGTTGATTCAAATGATTTCGGCCCAAATTATTGCATACACTAAATTTTCCTTGTCCTATATGCCAAAGAGCATGCTATTTAAAACCAAGTGGCAAGTTCTGCCTATTCGCACGACGAACTATAGAATTCAATACCTATATATAATCATATATATAATATATCATACTTTATGCGACCTATCGCTTATTATTTTTTTTTATTATCACTACTGGCCGTTCCCTACACCAAACAGGGTGGCCCGATTAACACGCAAAAACTTTCAACATCATTCACTCCATTCACTGTCCTTGCCAGAGTGCTTTACACTACAGTTTTAACCGACAATTCACACACCCCCCTTCAGAGTGCAGGCACTGTACTTCCCACTCCAGACTCTAAGTCCGCCTGCCGGTTTCCCTGAACCCCTTCATAAATGTTACTTTGCTCACACTCCAACAGCACGTCAAGTATTAAAAACCATTTGTCTCCATTCACTCCTATCAAACACGTTCACGCATACCTGCTGGAAGTCCAAGCCCCTCGCACACAAAACCTCCTTTACCCCTCTCTCCAACCTTTCCTAGGCCGACCCCTACCCCGCCTTCCTTCCACTACAGACTGATACACTCTTGAAGTCATTCTGTTTCGCTCCATTCTCTCTACATGTCCGAACCACCTCAACAACCCTTCCTCAGCCCTCTGGACAACAGTTTTGGTAATCCCGCACCTCCTCCTAACTTCCAAACTACGAATTCTCTGCATTATATTCACACCACACATTGCCCTCAGACATGACATCTCGACTGCCTCCAGCCTTCTCCTCGCTGCAACATTCATCACCCATGCTTCACACCCATATAAGAGCGTTGGTAAAACTATACTCTCATACATTCCGCTCTTTGCCTCCAAGGACAAAGTTCTTTGTCTCCACAGACTCCCAAGTGCACCACTCACTCTTTTTCCCTCATCAATTCTATGATTCACCTCATCTTTCATAGACCCATCCGCTGACACGTCCACTCCCAAATATCTGAATACCTTCACCTCCTCCATACACTCTCCCTCCAATCTGATATTCAATCTTTCATCACCTAATCTTTTTGTTATCCTCATAACCTTACTCTTTCCTGTATTCACCTTTAATTTTCTTCTTTTGCACACCCTACCAAATTCATCTACCAATCTCTGCAACTTCTTTTCAGAATCTCCCAAGAGCACAGTGTCATCAGCAAAGAGCAACTGTGACAACTCCCACTTTGTGTGTGATTCTTTATCTTTTAACTCCACGCCTCTTGCCAAGACCCTCGCATTTACTTCTCTTACAACCCCATCTATATATATATATATATATATATATATATATATATATATATATATATATATATATATATATATATATATATATATATATATATATATAATATATATATGTGTATGATTGGATATAAAGCCGATATATTCTTATATTCTTTGCAAAAAATAAAAATAGTAATTAGTATTTTAGATGTTCCAAACAAAATTGATTATAGAAGTAACGTATAGGTGTTGCTTGTATTGCAGTAGGTGGAGCGAAGTGGAACCTCCACTGGGTGCTCCACTGGGGTTTAGTTGCTGTACCTTCCAGGTGGGTCACCCCGGGAGTCGAAGGTCACGGACTCGTTGTTGTAGGTGAAGGTCACGTTCATCAAGTAGTCCTGCAGTGAGAACGTTAATGTAAATATCACTTCAAAATAAATAAAAAATATTTTTTCAGAGGAATGAGGTGAGTTGTGACCTTTTATAGAAGAGGAAATAACTCATGTCAGTCTCTAAACCCATGTGGGTCATTCAGAATGCGACCTTATATAGATGATCCTAAGGTCATAAGTACTGACCCTATATAAAGATCCATTAACGGGGAGCATGGCGTCGCATAGGCCTTGGGTGGAGGGACATAGGTCTTTCTGCATGTTGTGTAGACCCCAGGCCATGGTGTAGATGGCCTTCATCACGAACGCCATCTTCGTGTCTTGTTTGTAGCCTTTACGAAGGGATTCCATACCTGGAGGGAATGGTTGTCGCGTGTGAGTAGTTGTTAGGGATGGTGGTGGGTTTTATGGCACTGGCAGTAGGGAAGGTGTCTGGAAAAAAAAAACTAGGAAAAAAGGTCACAGGTTAGGTTGTGACCTTTTTTCTGTGGCCTTTTTTTCCCTGGATCCGTAGGGAATCAAGACCCTTTGACCTGTATCAAGGCATAACCCTTACCCCCGTCTCTGGTATACCACGTAGAAAAGAAACAGGGAAGCCATCTCCATGACATTTCTAACAGATGAGAAAGTTTTGGAACACAAATCCTCCTCAATTCCACAAACACCAAGCAGGTAACAATTGAACCCACCAGAACAGCCTGGTAGTTTGGAGTTCTCCTCTTGCCCTGGCAGGGAACAATTGAACCTCATCTGCCAGAACTCCCTGAACCACGGGTTGCGATCGTTCTTCTCCGGGTGCAGCTGGAAGTAATGGTCGTCGAATTCAGACACATAAGAGCTGTTGATCTTGATGGAAAGGCCACCCACCGCTGCTTCTTCCAAACCTGCCACCACGTCTGAACGATCAGCCCAGCCATCACTGCCAACACACACACTACCATTATTTATTGTCATTATTGTGTATCGTTAGCATTCTTATTATTGTAATAAAGTTGGTAGAATTACCGACAATATGTAAAGTAAAAGGACACAAGTGCAACTAATGTGACATTTTATTGTGGCAACGTTTCGCTCTCCAGGAGCTTTATCAAGCCATTACAAACAATACATGGACACAGAGGGTATATAAAGTCTCAGAGTGAGGTGTAATACTAGTGAGGTACCATTTCGATGTTCACTAGTGGTAGTAGTAGTAGTAGTAGTAGTGACAAAAGTTGTAGTGGTAGTAGTAATACAATATTGTAGAGCAATTAATTCGTACATGAGTAAAAGGATATAAAAGCTATTACTTGGGTAACATAAAAATAGGTTGGACAAATATAGACTGGAAAGAGGCAGCTTGTTTCAGTGTTCACTCTCTGTGCTTTGTGTAGTATAACAGGAGAGACTATGTGATGGCAGGGTTTACTGTTTTCAGGAGGATTCTTGCTAAGACTTCAGAGATGGTGAAGCTGCCGTTGTTTTGTTTAATTGTATTCGAAACAGCGATCAGTGCTGATTCGAGGCACTTGCGTCTGCGGAAATTAGTTTCTTTGATCACTAATTGGGCGTCTCTGAATTTCATGAGATGATTGGTGAAATTTCGGTGTTGTACACAGGCATTGTTCAAGTTATCGTTCCTACATGCGTAAATGTGTTCACTGAGGCGGGTGTCGAGGTTTCTTGCTGTTTCACCTACGTAAATCTTGTCACAGCCTCCACAGGGTATAGTGTAAACTCCTGCATTGACTGGTTCGTGGTGCTTGGATTTTGTCCTGGTTAGAACCTTTATTGAAGTGCTAGAAGCGATGGCGACTCTGGTGTTAGCTTGTGAAAGTACTTTTGAGACGTTCAGTGCAACCTGGGTGTTGGGAAAAATTATAACTTTGTTGGGAGTGGTGCTGATGCGTGGAGAATTAATGATCTGAAGAGCTCTTTTCTTGCAGTCTTTGATGAAAAAAGAAGGAAAATGTAACTAGGTTAATGTTTGGTGAATGTATGTACATTCCTCGTCAAGAAACTCAGGACTACAAATTCGGTATTACGCTCTTAGGAAAAACCCGATGATGATGCCTCTTTTGGTCTTGGTATCTTGACTGGAATAGAAGTGTGTGAGATCATTTTTATTGGTGGGTTTCCGATAAACTTGAAATCTTAGGTTGTTGTCTACTTTGTGAATGAGGACGTCGAGGAAAGGTAGCTTGTCATTGGACTCTTCTAGTGTAAACTGGATCGCCGGTTCAACTGCGTTCAACATCGAAATGGTACCTCACTAGTATTGCACCTCACTCTGAGCCTTTATATACCCTCTGTGTCCATGTATTGTTTGTAATGGCTTGATAAAGCTCCTGGAGAGCGAAACGTTGCCACAATAAAATGTCACATTAGTTGCACTTGTGTCCTTTTACTTTACATTCTTATTATTGCTATTGTTCGTATTATACTGCGAAGCGCTACTACGTTTGTATGGGCCATACAGCACCTGGGGAATGGGAAGTAATGAATCCTCAATTAAATAGTTACAAGAAGGTGGTGAGGTAGACTCACCTGCCGATGAAGAGGAACCTAGAGGTGACATTGTTCCTCTGCGCCGCCAGCAGGAGGTTCCTGACGGTCATTCCTTCACAAAAACACACTACAACATTAGCTCTCTGGTCCTCCCGAAGTTGTTCAATCACCTGTAGGACACCAAGCATAACTATTATTGTTATTATTATTATTATTATTATTATTATTATTATTATTATTATTATTATTATGGTTTTCTTTTTGTTGTGGTTTATAGGGGTACTGACGACTCACACCGTATCGAACCCTTATAGACTAGGTTCTGTGAAGGTGGTTTGTGCTTTAGTTCAGGTCATTTATATCCCTTTGTATTCCTGTGGCTCAGGCGTATATTGCTCAACTCGTCCCCGTTGTACGAGCATTCGTGTTGATGGACGTTCTCGGCAACGCAGGCGTGTTCCACTCGAAACATGATTGGAGCAAAGCACAAATCATTAAGGAAGCTGATCTCTAGGTATACAAATAACCCACACTTAGGAGAAAGAAGCTTATGACAACGTTTCGGGCCGACTTGGACCATTTACTAAGTCATATATTTACAAGTGGTCTAAGTCGGCCCGAAACGTCACTGTAAGCTCCTCTCTCCTATGTGCGGGTTATTTCTGTATTAAAACTAAGATTTTCTTATCCATGGATGCGTTAGGAATGATCATGGTTGCAGGACCACAAGACACATAAACCAAGAGATGTATAAACTCAGTTTAATTTGTGATAAACAACTGTCAATGAATAAACAGAATGGTGGATGAGGGGCTAGAACCATGGTCCTTAAACTGACAGTCTGACGCTCTCAGTGCGCATACACTCAGAGTTTAATTTAGATAATAAATATTTTTGACTGAGGCAGAGGAAGATCTGGCAGAGAGAGAAATAGATCGGGCAGAGAGAGAAATAGATCGGCCAGAGAGAGAAATAGATCGGGCAGAGAGAGAATTGCAAGGATATTGGAGAGAGGAAGCAATCTGGTAGAGAGGCAGAGCAATCTGGTATAGAGAGAAATCTGGCAGAGGCAGATCTGGTAGAGAGGCAGAGGCAAGATCTGGTAGGAGAGAAAAGACAGAGAGCAGAATATCTGGAGAGGAAGGAGAGAGAGATCTGGCAGAGGCATATCTGGTAGAGAGCAGAGCAATCTGGTAGAGAGACACTGAGAGAGGAGAGAGATCTGGTAGAGGGCAAGAGCTCTAACTCATTAGGCAAATCAAAACATGTACGAAATGTACCTAAGTCCTGCAGACTATATTGTGCTTATGACCAACATATTGTTGTCAGGATGTACGTTAGCATAGAATGTAGCTACTCAGAGAAGACTCTAAACAACATGTACATCTATATCCAAATGTACGCTATATCCAACATGTTCGTCTATATCCAAATGTATGTCTATATCCAAAATGTAGTCTATATCACATGTACGTCTTATCCAACATGTACGTCTATATCCAACATGTACGTCTATATCCACATGTACGTCTATATCCAACATGTACGTCTATATCCAACATGTACGTCATATCCAACATGTACGTCTATATCCAACATGTACGTCTATATCCAACATGTACGTCTATATCCAACATGTACGTCTATATCCAACATGTACGTCTATATCCAGCATGTACGTCTATATCCAACATGTACGTCTATATCCAACATGTACGTCTATAATCCAACATGTACGTCTATATCCAACATGTACGTCTATATCCAACATGTACGTCTATATCCAACATGTACGTCTATATCCAACATGTACGTCTATATCCAACATGTACGTCTATATCCAACATGTACGTCTATATCCAACATGTACGTCTATATCCAACATGTACGTCTATATCCAACATGTACGTCTATATCCAACATGTACGTCTATATCCAACATGTACGTCTATATCCAACATGTACGTCTATATCCAACATGTACGTCTATATCCAACATGTACGTCTATATCCAACATGACGTCTATATTCCAACATGTACGTCTATATCCAACATGTACGTCTATATCCAACATGTACGTCTATATCCAACATGTACGTCTATATCCAACATGTACGTCTATATCCAACATGTACGTCTATATCCACCAACATGTACGTCTATATCCAACATGTACGTCTATATCCAACATGTACGTCTATATCCAACATGTACGTCTATATCCAACATGTACGTCTATATCCAACATGTACGTCTATATCCAACATGTACATCTATATCCAACATGTACGTCTATATCCAACATGTACATCTATATCCAACATGTACGTCTATATCCAACATGTACGTCTATATCCAACATGTACGTCTATATCCAACATGTACGTCTATATCCAACATGTACATCTATATCCAACATGTACGTCTATATCCAACATGTACGTCTATATCCAGCATGTACGTCTATATCCAACATGTACATCTATATCCAACATGTACGTCTATATCCAACATGTACATCTATATCCAACATGTACGTCTATATCCAACATGTGCATCTATATCCAACATGTACGTCTATATCCAACATGTACGTCTATATCCAACATGTACGTCTATATCCAGCATGTACGTCTATATCCAACATGTACATCTATTATCCAACATGTACGTCTATATCCAACATGTACATCTATATCCAACATGTACGTCTTATCCAACATGTACATCTATATCCAACATGTACGTCTATATCCAACATGTACGTCTATATCCAGCATGTACGTCTATATCCAACATGTACGTCTATATCCAGCATGTACGTCTATATCCAACATGTACGTCTATATCCAACATGTACGTCTATATCCAACATGTACATCTATATCCAACATGTACGTCTATATCCAACATGTACGTCTATATCCAACATGTACGTCTATATCCAACATGTACGTCTATATCCAACATGTACGTCTATATCCAACATGTACGTCTATACCAACATGTACGTCTATATCCACATGTACGTCTATATCCAACATGTACGTCTATATCCAACATGTACGTCTATATCCAACATGTACGTCTATATCCAGCATATACGTCAGTACTCAGTTATAACTCACATGGAGCCAGAAAATCAGAAGATAACTGATGATGTATATTTTGAAATATACAGACCAACCATCCTGTGTTTGTCTCCGTGTGGGTTAGTTAGTTTAATATGTTTATTATGCACCCCATACCCATCCTGTGGGCGGTAGTCAAAAGATTACAGAGGTACATAATTGGTCCAGGGACTGGGCCTCAAAGTTTTGATAGCTGAGCAAGTTACAGAGGTAATGAATTCACAATTTACAAAGGTAATGAACTCACAATTTACAAAGGTAATGAACTCCAGGTAGGTCTAGTCACAATCATGACAAGTGTGGGTTACTAGACAATATTGATAAGTGTTCATTACACTCATGTTATCCATGTACATCTGTATCCAGCATGTATACATCTATATCTAACATTTATACATTATATCCAACATGTATACATCTTCATCGAACATGTATACATCTCTATCCTGCATGTATACATCTATATCTAACATGTATACATCCATATCCTGCATGTATACATGTACATCCAGCACTACTCACCATGTTAGGTAAGACACATATGCAACAGTTTCAGACTATGGAACAATACTCTTCTCCAGACTGAGGGACTGACCACCTCAAAACTTTAAGTGTGATGGACTGATTACATCGTCTTCAAGTATCTTCTGCTTCTATCAACTTTTCTGTACTCGACTGAAGAAGCCTACTGTGTAGGCGAAACGTTTCGAAATAAAGATACCTAACTGTTGCATATGTGTCTTACCTAACAACCTGTCGGTATTTTATACCATTTTAATGTTCACTACTCACCATATCGAAGGCCTCGTCTTCAGCGTTGCTCAGGACAGAGTCTTCCTTAGCGATACAAATATTATTTCCTTCAGCCAGCTCTCTGAAGGCTGTCATGCCGCTCTGGCCATAGTTCCCTGAAACAGTCTTAAGATTCATTATAGCCATAAGCGAGTGCTGAAACTCTCTCCCCCCGGGAATGGGGGGTACATATATCCCCCGGGGGAAGAAGCTAGAAAATATCGAATTTCCTTATAAAATGGGGGTGGACGACCCCCACTCTCAGACTTTAGGGGGAGACTCAAAGAATTTTTTTTTTTTAAGCAATTTACTTCTTACTTTTAAATGATCTTTTTTGTAATATTTGTTTTTCGCCTCTCATCTGAAGTATATATTTTTAATTCCTCCATTCTTCTTGTATATTTCCTTCCGTTACCTTTCATTCTAACTACTGACGTGTACACCACACAAGTGTCTCGGTGGCCCGGTGGCCTGGTGGCTAAAGCTCCCGCTTCACACACGGAGGGCCCGGGTTCGATTCCCGGCGGTGGAAACATTTCGACACGTTTCCTTACACCTATTGTCCTGTTCACCTAGCAGCAAATAGGTACCTGGGTGTTAGTCGACTGGTGTGGGTGGCATCCTGGGGGACAAGATTAAGGACCACAATGGAAATAAGTTAGACAGTCCTCGATGACGCACTGACTTTCTTGGGTTATCCTGGGTGGCTAACCCTCCGGGGTTAAAAATCCGAACGAAATCTTACTTATCTTATCTTAACACACTTGTTCACTAACATATACACCAGACACTCAGTACACTACATAAGTAA